AGTTACATGCCGGAGAAGTCCGGTCGGTGAATCTGTTGGTTGTCGACTGCATTGTCAACGTCTGGGCAAAGCCACAATGATGCAGGTTTGGTTGGAACAGTATGTCCGCGCAAGTTACACAAAATCACAGTCATCCTTCTGAGATTCAAAGTGTTTTACTAATCGAGCAGTAACACATTCGTGGGCATGGTATGGTTTAGAGACGATACAGGTGCGAGGCATTCCGTTCGCACCAGTCGGGAAAGACGATTTGCACTGAAACTTGAGTGTCATATTGAGGTTGCAGCGTAGAAGTTTAATCATAGCCTGTTGGGCCACGAATGATGCTGGGACAAATAAATAGCCAGACTTCGACCGCCTCAAATGTCTCCTTTTGGTCAACCATCCAGTCCAAGCAAATTGGCAACTGAGTTACCGCCTCATCTGTTGCGCAATGGAGGACATCGATGCGAACAACACTGCATACGATACAATTGCATTCCAGCAACAAGAGTAGGCCATTGTCTTTTCTCTCACGTCTCCACTTTCATGAGCGTATTACCGAACCATTCCCAAAGTCCATACAGAGGCCAGCTCTTTTGATCCTGTCGTTCCCTTCGATCCTATTTCATGTTGGCATTGGCATTGTCGGGCTCGTTCGAGACTGGAACGCCCTTGATGCCCTTCTCACCAGGCTGATTCTGTGATGGATCGATGCCCACATTGGTGGCGCCTGAGTCGGAGGCTACTGGTGCCTCACCAGGGCCCTTGGGCTCGGTGTGACTAAGTGCATTCTCTGCGCCAGTGCCATGTGCTTGGTCGTGTTAGCAGACATATAGAATTCATCATGTTGTGCTGTCATACTCTGGGCTTGTTGCTTCGCGAACTTGTCGGAGGCTGCCTGTCCACCGGGTGTCTTGCTGACCATTTTGATATATTTGGTGATGGGTGGTTGGAATTGAACAGATGGGGTTTTCTTATTGTGCGTGCAAGTGAACTACATTTACTTTGAAATTATTGTCACCTAAGGTACTTATACTGATATTGTACCTGAGTGAATACGTCATGATAGCGTATGACGCCTACAACACAATTTTCTGCACTCATACCTCGCAACGAAGGACCCACTGACCGATGGTGAGACCCTTTTCAGACACTTGCTACTATGATGATTGAAATGCTTGAGTCGATGTATTTACCAGATCACCTTTATGTATCAAGCATCAGAGTCGATGGTGTCATGGATGAATTGCATGGGCCGGGGTCATCACTACGCTTGAGATTATTTTAAGGACGTTGAAAGCTGATTATCAGGATATTGCTCTAAGATGAACCCAGGCTGTTTGACCTTGTTTTCACCACCCAAGATTCCATCTATATATAGCTCGTTGCTTACCACAGTGTAAGGCACAGTAAGGTATACCGTTGTAATCAAGCAGGTGAACCGTTAGCAATCTCGGCGCCAAGAGGCTGCAGGTCCATGACAACGTGGATGACAACTTAAAGTTAGAGTACATGTACCGTTCCATTCTTGACAATTCGATAACCTTCACTTGAGCCTCTTCCTCACTAATGTACTGGTGCCCTTAAGTCAACTAAGATTGTACCATGACAATGGGTCTTCAACACATTTACTACAAGCTTCTGCTCCCATTGGCGTCCACAGAGCGTCATACGAAATTGACCTTCCAACCGCAAGAACTCTCATTGCTAGACATCACACTTCTCATCGCCATTTTCTTATTTAGATCGGTATTTCACTTTCTTGGAGCCTCTCTAGGGGTTCGTTCAAAGGCATCGTCTGATCTCTGAAACTGGGCAAAAACGATCTAAATCAATATGCCCAGGCAATAAATGACAAAACATCAAACGGGGTGGATTTCAATAACCCTCAACTTCTACTATTCCTCTCGTGTATCACGGAGCCAGCCATGCTCTTACTTCTCGCAAAACGTAGTTGCCCGATACGCCCACTCGGTGCGGAACAGATTTGAGCTGTTGCGAATGGATGGCAAGCCGACGCCTCTGCTTGAAGCGCAAGAAGCAGTCGCTACTACTTCGCTACACGCGATCCCAAGAAGAGTCAAGCGAGGGCTCGAATACGATATTGAGACTACACTCACTCTCAGAGACTCGGAGACTGGGGAGCAAGTGCCCATTTTCCGGCAAGTATTCACCATGTTGCAATTCATGAAACAAAAGCAGCCACTGCACAAAGCGGCGCGGAAGACAGAGAAATTCTTTTCCTCGGCCATGAAGTTACCTGTTCGCTTGGCCTCTGATGATCCTTCCAGATGGGCAGCTATATCCAAGGATTACAATCCCATCCACATCTTCGATCTGGCAGCAAGAATGTACGGCTTCCCTGGCAGAATCGCACATGGGAACTACGTCGTGGCAAAATCTCTTCAGGCCGTCGCCAAGAGATCTCAAAAGTCAGCACATGTTCTAAGCCGGATGGATATGCCAATCTGGATGGAAGTCAGTTTCAAGAGGCCTGTTACTGTTCCCGCTCAACTGGAGTTTTGCGTCACACAGCGCTCCGACGACCATATATTGGCATCGTTTGAGATTTCTCAACGAGACAAGGTGTGCATAGAAGGTGGCCTAGGGGTGCTGCCGAGCAGATAGTATTTCATCATCATATCATTGAATTCGCATATCATGGACACAGAAGGCCAGACACGCAAATCACTACTCAGCGCATGCCGATCTGTTAAGGTGTGAATAAACTGCCCTCTCAAACTCGCCGAAGTAATATGCAGAATTACGATTACCGGGCGGTATCAGGTGCGAGCAGTAGCAGCCACATACTCCAGTCTCTCTGTCAACCCACTGTGAAAAGTCAGCTCAAGAAACGGTGGCTGCTATGAACGTTCGATGAAACTCACCCAGTAACAGTTGGGCAGACCGGACCAGGAAAGTGATCCACTCCGGCGAGCACCCACGATATCCTCCAAAGTCACAACCCCACCAATGCCGAAATTGATCCTGGTCTCCAAAGGTATACTACCGAGAGCAGCGACTGTAAATATCTCCGATGACGCGGTCTCTACGCACGTACTATGAAACAGGTCAGAGTCCTCAAGTTGTGGACTGAACATTTCGGAGATTGTTTCCTTCTTCAGCAGAGTTTCATCAAGCATGGAAGCGAGCACTTTGACAAAGCTTTGCGCGTCACTGTATAATCCACCACCGCCTCTGGCCTCGGAGATGGGATCCGTTATGAATTGATCGAGGGTCGAGATGGTAAAGCTACCGTGCTCGCCTCGATGCGTTAGAGGAGTGAGGTGACTTCGCACATGCGCCTGTTTCTCGAGATGAAACGTGAGATTCTCAACGCCGAGAGGTGCGAAGATGTACTTTCGGAAATATTCTTCGAGCTTCAAGCCAGTGACGCGCTCGACCTGTATGCTCTGTCAGATGTGCCAACAACAGATTCAGAATGAACATGAACATACCATTCGGCCGGCCCAGTCGATGGAAGCACCATAGTGGAAGACTGTGTTGGGATGCTGCACAAGAGTGAAGCTATATCGGTCTTGCTCTTCAAAGGGCTCTCTCCATTCTAGCGGCGGAGAGTCCAGAGATTGGTAGTACTGCTTCAATGGGTGGTAGCCCTTCGTCGACATGCCGGTCATGTGGGTCAACAATGTTCTATGGAATACGGTCAGCACATCTCTGTTCCGAAACCGTACAACTGCGAATGTGTACCTCAAGGTAATTTTCGCATCCGTCGGCTTCAGAATCGGCTCTCCTGTTTCCTTGTCGAAACCATCGTGATATCGCGGATCCTTCCATTCAGGCAAGACCTTGGTGATGTCTTCGTCCAATGACAGTAGACCTTTCTCCACGCACTGCATGGCTGCGATAGAGGTCACGATCTTGGTCATCGAGGCAATCCAGAATGTCGACCCGACAGTCAAGTCTGGAGCATCTGCACGAACCTCACCTTTGCCAAAGGCCTTAGAGTATTGCCATGATCCTGGAGTTTGTCTGTCAGCCTCATTCGAACAGTGACTCCACACACTTCTTGTTCACTACTAGACAAAATACCGAGCACGTCCAGCTACAAACGGCTCTACCTCATGTGCGTCTCCAGAACGTGAAACCTCCAATCTTACCGTCTTTACTACGAGCAGCGACCGTGAAACCAGGCACGGTTGGAAGATATCTCTCGGCATCAATAGCGACAACATCGCTTGCAAGCCTCTCGAACCCATCCATTGTCAAAGCTATACTGGCTCTGTGAAACGGAAAGTATGGGCACGAAGGTGGAGACCATCCCTGACGCCCTGTAGGCTGACTCGCTGAGCGCCCCGCACGCGATCTTCTAGACGACCACGTAGCAAGCGGCGTAAGCGCAATAAAGATGCATTAACTGCGAATGCATAAATATTGGGACGGAGGATTGTGATGGTTATTCGCGTTCGCGTGTGCCGTGCCACGCGAGTCTGCGGTGATAAGCCGAGTGGTGCGCTGGCAGGACTAGTACTTATCGCAGAATTGATTAAACTCTACTGAAGAGGTGGTGTGGTGATTGTTCTATAGGCTATATATGTTATTAGGGTTGAAAACAACAGAACAGCTCTGCGATCTTGTTATTGGTCCAAGGATGTTATAGCTCTGTGTACTTGACTTGGACATGACTTGTGAAGACCAAATCTAAGACGAGTCAGTAGGCAAATGAGTAATTTGTTCGGTCGCAAGGTCTCTAGACACGTCGATTCATCAAGCGTCTAGAAGCGCGTTCGCATCATTCCCTGCGGCTCAGGCAAAATACGCAATGTTTCATCAGCACATAAATTCACGAGCGTTCAACAGCAGGAGCACGCCGAGTCTCCAAAAGCGGAAGGCCGCCGCATTTACAAGCTGGAGTCATCGGGACATCTCCGGCCGATAGGAGCTCCAAAAGCAAATCATCCGCGTTGCCCGGCAATCCAAACTTTCCTTCCACGCGACGCGACCAGTATTTTGACTAGTCTAGATATATTCCAATTCCCAAGCTGAGAACCATCAATGGTTGGTTAGTGTAGTGGTTATCACGTTTCCTTTACATATATCATGCTCTCAACCTCTCCCTGGAGAGTTTGGCAGACAATTATGTAAACCGGAAAAGGCCGCGAGTTCGATCCTCGCACCGATCACATGTTCTTTTGCTTTTTTGTGGTTTTGTACTTTGGGCGCTGGTTGTTGTACTTTCGGTCCTTACAAGTCAGGCCTCGGCGGATTTGTTGATGCCATCTGTATTGATCGTCCAGCAAGACAACGCAGTCGATATGAAGTTTTGCTGTCAACCCAACATCTTCATTTCTTCTTCCTTTCCTTTTAAGGAAATTGACATACCTGAAATCCGTTCAGCTACTCCTAATATCACCTTACACCCCTGCTTTCAATGCCATCAGTGGCAAAGCGGCAATGTCGAGACTGCAATAGAGCGCTGGTCGCACTTGTGAAAGATCCGTGACATGTAGCAAAGCAGACCAGGTAGGTTTCATCATCATCGCTTTTCAAAGCCCACAAGGATGCATGCGTGCCTTTCAATACCCCATGAGCAAACCACTAGGCCCTTGCTAGGTTATAAATGCAGTGGTAGCGGTACCATTCATGCTATTAGTCTATCAATCCCGAGACGAACGCGCCGACGGATGCGAGCACACCCATGGACCCCAAACACCTTAGTGAATGCTGAACACATAGACGCAAACAACCAAAGCCAACGCCAGATATCAGAATACCTCGATGACATGCTTACATCTCAATAACATCCTGACATCTGATTACATCCCAGCTACATTATAAACCCTGAACAGTCGATAAATCCAAAAAGAAAAAAAGAAAAATCAAACGCTCGTACCCGACTGGCAACAACAACAATAACGACAACAATAACGACAACAATAACGACAACAATAACGACAACAATAACGACAACAATAACGACATCAACTACGACACCAACGATACAAGCTCGATAGAACATCAACACAAAAAGGTCTATAGATCCAACCAATAGGTCGGACCGTAACAGTCCCCTCTCAAAGCCCATCGCCTGTCTTCCAGGCCGAATACGCCATATCAGGTGCTATCACGCGTAAGAACACGCAAAGAAACGCCGAGCAGGGCGGAGCGACACGAACTAATCGCCGTCAAACTGCCAGTGTCAGTGCGAGGTTGATCGACTCCAAGACGAGTTAAACCCAGGGGCCAGGCAGGTTGGGCTTTTGATGTAAGGTACGTAGCTGGAGTTGGGATCATACATGCTTATTCACGGCAACGATTCAGCAGTGCTGCACCACGATATCCTGAACAAAGACACCCCACCAGCTTATCACTCGAGCGCGGTTCCTTTCAAGCAGGCAAGTCTTGCGCTGAACCACGCATCGACTCAAGTGACCCTGTCCAGCACGCGTCGGTGCTGGCCTTGTCCCGAGTTATCAACCTGAAGTCCACTATCAACCGAAGTCCACTATCAACCGAAGTCCACTATCAACCGAAGTCCACTATCAACCGAAGTCCACTATCAACCGAAGTCCACTATCAACCGAAGTCCACTATCAACCGAAGTCCACTATCAACCGAAGTCCACTCACGAAGCAAATTCTTGTGCATGCAAGATGGTAAACCCGTATCTTCCACCAGATTGTAAGCGAGAGCGAGAGCGATGGTAATAGTAATAGTAATAGTAATAGCGATGATACGAGTGGTCGAGCTACTATAAGCTTTCAACCCGATTTAGTATATGTCTAACAAAAAACATAGGACGATCATGAGTAAATCTCCTCCATACTATGATAGTGCTTTGGTCATGAAGGCTCTGCGTCGAAGCCAGGAAGAAGATCCTTTCGGACCTTTTAATACCAATATAGCAAGAGAAACCGCCTCAGGGTTAAGAAACCTTTGGGAAGGGTCTAACTTTTTATATATGAATTGAAAAAGAAAGTAAGAAAAAGGCAGCTTTTGCTATCTTCAACTATTACTACAAACAAGACTTTGGTTTACTTTTGTCAGGAGAACAAGAGAGGTGGGATCTCCAATTGGATAGTAGCGATGATATAAGTGGTCGAGCTACTATAAGCTTTATCTCGCGGCACCTGACTCATCCACCCACCATCCACCCGCCAACCCATCCATCTTGTCGTTCCTATAAGCTTTGCGTACCTCTGATAGATAAAAGTCAAGGGATCTTGTTGTAATTACATTTACACTGCTGTCTCTCACACACGAGGAAACTTTGTCTTGCGATAACATCACTCGAACATAAATCAACGTGGACGACTGGAATATATTTGCGCAATGTGCTAAGGATGCTTATTTCAGCTATCGATACTTCTCGGACAAGGACGTTGATATCAGAGGGAAATGATGGACTGTCAGAGGAAAGCCCGCCGTCGTCAGATCCTTGTCAAACAACAACAATGACGCTAGAGGGAGCAGATCCGCCGCCGTCAGATTCTTCTCGCACAACGGCAATGACACCAGACGGACTTGATGGACTGTCAGAGGAGAGCCCGCCACCATATACCAAAAGCGTGCCACCATCCCAAGCTGTGGGAACCGAGGCAGTGCCGACCAAGTGTGACATCGAGCGATTTCGCCGCTTCATGGCTTTTCGTCTAGCGGTCGCATACGGCTTGGAGTCAGCACTACCAAGTCTGGACCGGCCGACGGAAGAAGACAAGGAACTCTTCGCTCGACTTGCTTCTGATTCGTTTCGTCTTCTCCACGACGAGAAGATTCACAAGTCTGCCAGGAAAGTCGACAAGTTGGATACGGACATATACGAGCATATATTGTGGCCGGCTGATGCGCTGCTGCTGCCCCGAGGTATGTCAATCGGGTAGCATCTTCCACCGACTACATTTGTGTTGAACGCTCTGCTGACTGAGGGTGCGATTGTTATAGTGCTGGCCCAGCATTTCATGATGATATACCACAGACACATGACCAGAAGGGGCGGCGCATTCGACCCCGCTTCATCCTCTCCGGGTAGGATCGAACCATACACAGCGTCCACGCCCGCATCGACTCAGACAAGTCATGCATCAGCGGAATTGGTGCTACACCGTTCAATCTTCATCGACAAAGCAATTCTGTCTCCGAGGTTCAATGAATTTTTACGGGATGTGAATAGGAATCTATGCGATGACATGATGGCACCAGGCTTGGGTGATCCAAGTAGATTCAGAATCGTCTTGACAAGGCAAGGAAGATACAGAGATGAAATGAAGGAGGATGTCTCAGGGGTCCTCGGCATGACTGGCATGGCTGCCCAAGAACATTGGCCGGAATGTGAGCCGTTGTTCTATGCCAACGGTGATCCGCTGCCGGCAAAGCGTCAGCCAAATGATGGATTTCTGGTCATTCCACTTTATCATGGGAAAGACGCAGCTGAATTTGCGGTTGATGGTTCAGCACAACCGCTTCCGAAACCGATGGCTCCCTGTCAAAGCGGACTTGGTGTGAAGGAGCTCTTGAAAGAATTACGTTATGTCGTCCTAGGTATATAAGCTTGATGTGGCCATCTCCAGATGTGTGGTGCTGTATCAGAAGACTAGGCGACTGGAAACAGTGCTTGAAGCATGTTCGAGGCGTTAAGAATCATGAGAAGTTCGTGGTTTGGGCGAGTGCTGAGAATGCCGAGGACTTAAGGTCAATCGGCCTTAGTTTGAGCAAGCTCGAGAGAGAAAATTTCTACGCGGTGTCAGGTGTATAAGTCTCGTGTGGCGATCTCAAGAGCTCTGTGAATTTGTCAGGAGAGAGTGCGACTTCCGACAGTGCCATAAGAGACGACGAAAGTGGTTGAGATGTTAAGAATCGGGATGAATGACTGAAAATGACCAAGTATTAAACACTTTCAAGGAGTAGCCGAAGAAGTGATCTCGAAGAGTCGTCCAGGAAGGTGTCGGACAGTGTCCAAATGGCAAAGGACCTTGAAGTTGAGGCAGGATATGATAGATAACGTCCAAGGGGAAAAATACTTTCGAAGTACTTTGAGACTCGAGGGAGGTATGACTCGCTGACTGCTCTGGCAGTCGGACGGTGTTAAACTTTCAAGGTCGAGACAGGTGGCGGCTGACTGACAGCGTCCAAGCGTAGACGACGGCACCTGACTGGCCGTACAAGGTCCGAATGGAAAAGTAATCTCGTCAAGGATGGCAGGTGGTGGCTCAGTGAAAGTACTTTTGAGTTGAGCAAGTTGGTGGCTGACTATTGACATCGTTCAGTGGAAGTACTTTCCCGGCGAGCAAGGTGAGAGGCAAGTGCTGATCAACTGACCGCCTGACAGTGGACAGAAAAGTACTTTCGAAGCTACCCGAGAAAAGCGGTGCTTGAATGCCTTCAGAAGAGATAGCTCAGTGAGTGAAGGGCAATCACCCGAAACAGAGACTTCGTTTCGGTCGTTGATGTCGAACAGACTCGACAATCTTGACGAGGTCTTGGAGAAGCGAAGCAAGATTCCTGATATTGTCTGACACCATGTGAGGTTCGAAATTGGTCTCCACGCTGTGAGAGAGCGTTGAGAAGAGGTTTCTGGTCCCAGGCGAAAGCCCGATTCCAATAATTGAATACAGTCGAGGAATGAGCAGCTTTCGAGAGTATTGAGGGTAAATCGCATGAGAAAGCGACTTTCAACAGTATGCTGAGAGATGTCGACAGGTACTGAGATGTCGTTCAGCCCAATGATTGTCTTGAGTCCAACTTCGTTGAATCCTGGTTCAGGATATTCGTCTCCAACACCACGTAGACGTGTGGACTCGTCGTCGGTGTAGGAGGGTGCTCTCACCACCCCCCCTCTTGGCCCCTACTCAGAAGGTTGCCAATCTTCTAGTAGAGGGAGATCCGGGTGCTTGCTCCACCTATCCCTTCTCCTCATCCCTCTTCTGCTTCGCCTCCTTCTTCTTCTTCTGCTTCTTCTCCTCTCTCGCCAAGTCTCTCTGCCACTTCGTCGCCGACCTCTCGGCCCAATCTCTATTCATCTCCCTCCAATTCTCAGGGCCATCCCAAAAATCTCTCGCGGCGACTTGCCAGCCTTTCGGTGGGAGCCTTTCTGTATAGCCAAGCGACCGGGCGCCGGCACAAGAGCACCAACAACACTCCAAGAGCGAGAGCCAGGCAATGCATCGCGATGCGGGGGAGCAGGCAC